ATTTCAATGCAAACAAAACACAAGCATGTTTTTTCTCTAGGAAAGCTGATCCCACTGTGCCCAATATAAGCTTGTCAGGAGTAACCATACCTTTGAAGGCATCCATTTCGATACTTGGTATTACTATCAGCAATAACATTTCTTGAGTTAATCACGTGAGATCAATTGCTAAAAGTGCATCCCAAAAACTTGATTTTCTGTTTCCGGCCAGGAGCTATTTCACTTCCAGTCAGCTGCTTTTGCTCTATAAGGCACAGTTCCGACCTGTCCTGGAATATTGTTCTCATATTTGGAGTGCAGCACTCAAAAATACCCTGGAACTGTAAGATTTTGTCCCAAAAAGGGCACTTCGTCTTGTGGGGGATGCCTCGCTCACAAACTCACTCACTTCTCTTGGACACCGTAGAAAAGTTGACGATCTGGCTCTATTTTATAGATATTTTCATGGACGATGCTCTTCTGAAATATCAACAATTTTTCCTCCCTTGGCAGTACCAGATTAACCCGTCGAGTTGAGGTTTCTCACCCCTTCGTGGTCACTTTGGAGACCTGCAGAACATCTCCTTCCAAAGACTTGGTCATCCAACGAACAGCGAGGCTCTAGAACACATTGCCAGAGGAGGTGTTCCCCGAGGCATATTACCTCCAGAAATTCAAGACGAACACCAATTCCTACCTCTTTTCCTTTGGTTCTCGCGATATTCTCTGAAGATTACAGGATATCCCTTTTCGTGGAAACCAGAACATAAAAAAAATCCTGTATTCCAATTATATATGTCATCTTTCTAAACAGAATTCTGCATTTGGAGAAAATATATGTAAGTCATTCGCTACTTCGAATGGCACCCACACTGATTGGTGCATGCGTTGCCCTCTTCTGACACTCATATCTCCGGACCAAACCATTCAATTCCAACAACAACAACGAACATCCGATGTGAAATTATTTTGTAAATATGGTAAATACATATTCGCTGTCTTGCTGAATTCACCAACTGATGGATCTTCATCAAATGATGGATTGTTCAACGAAACATACACGAGTATTATTCAGATGTATCAAAGTATGTATTATGCTTCGAGAAGAGGACATCCAGAAATATCAGTTGAAGGAAGCTGCTATCTCCATGTGGTGTTTAGCGAATTTTGAATGTTTCAGGTGATGTATATTGTATAGTGATGTGAATCACCTTGACCTCATATCATATCTACTAACATCGTGAATAAAATTATGTTATACCTCTTATCATGTACTTTATTTTATTTTATTTTCATCCAAGTTGAATAACAATCTACAGAAAAACAATAAGCTGTTCACTGAACAAGATAATGAATTTTTCACATTTGTATACTTATGATAACTACGAAATAACATTCATTATTTTCATTTACTTCTGGATCTCCTGTAGCTTCTACAGTAATAATGGGCACTTTGATTATTATTCTTTGGTTTAAACTCCAAATGAGTCTTGTCAATACAATTTGGTGTTAAAATTGTTGATGTTTCAATATCCACAGACGAAAAATGAGGAGAAAAGTATGAACACTAGTAGCACCTGTCATTCTGTTCAGTACGTTGAATAGTGCACCCTGCACTTACACTGAACACTGTGTCAAAAGTGTAGACACTTTTTCATTTCCGAACTCAGCTAATCTCGTTATATTAATAGCTATAATTATTGACATTATTATCATATCGTTTAAATACATTTTTCTCAGGAATGAGTGATTAATATGGTCGTTCTGCATGTGACTGGTCGAAGGAGACAGAAACCAGACATAAGTACATACATATACAGAGTACAGATAGTCGTTCGAAGTTTCGTTGAAATGTTGAAACTCCCTCAGGACGGCCCAGGACAATATCGAACACATTAGAAGCGGGAATAGGTCCCTGCGGGATCCACGCCTATCTCTCGTCTCTGTTATGGTATTCCCTGATGTTGTTGTAATCCAGTTCATCATCGACGCATATTGTAGACGTTTGAAGTCATTGTCAGTGGCGGAACATCATAAAACTAGCAAATAAAAACAAAATTTATATACATAAGTTTTGAGATATTGAAGACCTTTGGCACTACACTACACTGTTTTACCACTAACCAAACCGATTTTGTAACGCCTCGATACGTGCTTCGCTAACTATGTTAGCATCTTCAGGAGAAGATTAAAACTGCCAGTTTCATTATTGGTAAAATAATATTCCATTACCACTCATGAAGCAACTCAGTTATTGATAATGTGTTACAGTCCGAATTAAATATTTTATTTGCACTAACAGGATAGGAAGCCATGGTATTATAGTTATTAATTTGTGACTTATCGTGTAACCAGACTGTTATTATTCTTTCTTTAACTCCATAACAAAACATCATGTGAATATTGGCTAGGCTAGAGACTTGGCAATGCTGTGCTAGATGCTGAGAACTGACAATACAACGCCCACAATCCTGTGTTGTCACGTTTACCGGACCTCATCTCCCCTAGTGTGGATTAATATAAATTTTATTGACACGAATTAATCATAACATGCGATAAAACACATTATTAGAGAGGGAAAATTGCAAGACAATGGATTATTATATATAGCTAATTGAGAATATTATCAATGCATGATTGAGAATTCATGAATCAATAAATGAATAATATTTCTGAAGTTTTCCATTCATATTTCAACATATGGCAACTATGTTATGATCTGCCCCCACTCACGAAATCGTGACGTTTATTTGCTGTAAGTTTATAGCCGTTTGAAAATTACCGTGGCAATATTGATGATTTTAGCACCTTGAAATCGACCAGAAAAAATTAAAATAGTTTGGAATTGAAAGGTAATCGAGTTTTGATTGATTCTATTTGAGAAATAAAAAAAATCCACTCGCCTATTATTTCTCACTTACTGATACCTAATCCTCCACATGCACTGTGGACAATGGGTATATATCTGGTAAAGATACCATATTCAGACTATACGATATCGTTCAATTGAACAAACCTCCAAAGTTCGACAATCTGCACTGTTAAAACAACGAAACCACTTGGGCTCATGTGCTTTTGAACCAATCAAATCGAACTAAATAGATCCTTTGTATCAATGAATTGAAAAAGAGGAAAGCAAATTGCATCTACGCCAATGGTGAAAAGTGGTAATTTGACACCATGTAATTCGGTTTGCATATTCTACAAACAAATACTCGGATCCAGTTTCAATTTGGAATGGAAGGAATTGTTATAACGTACACTGTTGTCTTATCAGGTTACAAATTTCTTCAATCGATTGAAAATGAATATGGTTTATTACGAAAACGGTTGTTGTTGAATCATGGATTTCCTGTACTGTACATATATAAACGATTCTGGATAATTACTGTAGATATGACAAAATCTACCATTCATTCTTTTAATGAAGATCGAATCATCAATTTAAGTTAGGTATTTGAACAAGAAATATTGATTGATCACCACTCATAGAACACAAAAAAAAATGTTTACGCATTCAATTATTTATTGGTCTCGAAGGATATTCTCACTCAAAAAATACCAGATCATTGAGACGCTATGAATTATCAATGGCAACTTGATTTCTTCGCTTGTTTCTACACAATAATCTAGCTTTACTTTAAGTATCTTCAAGATGATATGAATGTGATGAATATGATGAGTTGAAACAATTATGTTAGTAATAAGTAATTCAACAAATGTCATTTTGTTACATAACATGATCAAATAAAATGTATCTATCTAATGTTGTAAAGGTTTATTGAGGAAAAATCACAATCAACATTATACAATACATGAGTATAGGGCTCAATCAATTATGTTTGTTTACTGTGTTAAAAACTGGAATTGATTTGTTCCAGGAACGTCCAAAGGTAATTGATATTTTATATTATATCAACCCCTATTGAATTTTTCTCAGTGATAATCTGGGGCAAACCATCTGATTTGTCCTTACTACACAAAAACTGGCATGATACTGATACATTTATTTGAAGAGACGAAGATAGATAATTCCAAAACGAGAGAATCGCAAAACTTTGAGAATAAGATCTTGACATTTTCAGAATAGAAATAACAAACATATTTTCCAAAGAATAAATCGGTATCGTGCAGATATCCATTAGGTACAATCCTGTTTTTTGTTTAGGTTTATTTTAAAACACTTCATGTCACTCATTATGCTTCTTTGTTTTTGTGAACGCTATTGTTTGAGTCATTAATACGTGCCTAGATGGTGTTTGCTGATGATTATCGCTTCAGAACTTTTTCTGAAAGAAGTGGTGGAAGCAGCTATGATAATTATTTTTCAATGTTTTCCTTGGATCTGCGTATATATATTGTATAGGTCTGTTCGTTTGTACTGCAGTGTGAATACTCAATGGTATTGCTGAACTTGCTAAAGTTAATTTTTCCCATAGTTGTCTCTGATGTTCATGGCCTAATGTAAACAGATAAAGTCATAGAAAAAAATCAAGTTCAGCAGGTAGAGCAAACATAAGCGGCCTTGAAATGATTAATTTAACTATAAGACTTCGACATATACCTGTATATACAGTGTAAGAACTGAATAATCTGCTATTAGGATGGATATTTATACAATTTATGCAATAAGAAATTGCATTGAAATTGCGTATAGTCATCGAGATAGTGCATAACTCGATTTTTACTACTTCCAAAAGCTTCTATTCCATCGAGAATTGAAAGTATGAAGTTAAAGAATTTAGCATGGATTTATGTACTCACGATGGGGCGAATGCAAAATGAGAATTGATTTTTTTTATTTATGGGTTTCGGCATATATCTTCGTTCTGTTATAGGGTTGACGCCCATGTTATTTGACCTATATCCCAATTATTTCCAATTTTAAAATCAATGCATAAACAACAATATTATGTTCATTACGATGATCTTTAATTCTTCCTATGCGAAAGTTCAATGTCATGTGATAAACACTTTTCTCAGTCAAATGACATACTAGAATAAATATTAATTGTGTCTGTATTTGGTATAACTGTTTATCCACGAATGTAATTTCAGAGGTACGTTAACTTTATATATTTATTTGCAAAAGGGAAATATTCTCATCGCCAATGACATTTCAACAACTTAAGATACGAGTTAAAATAATTGGCCGGTTTCAGTGAAAAAATTTGATTCAATAATTACTAATACTATTGTAGTGTAAGATATTACATTACGTGAAAATGCGCAAAAGTTGATCGTGACGACATATACCGTGACCAATCAATCTAATGCAACTATTACGATACCATATAGGAATTTTGTATAATATATCACAGTACCACAAATTAACTTTGTTAATCTGTGACAGTACACAGTATACCTCAGTGGTTAAAAAATATGAAGGGTATATAAAGTAGGTTGGTGGCGTAAATTTGACCATTCCATTTCAACTCCAATTTCGGAATCGGTAAGTTTAATTTCGGAGAAGGAAAACTCGATTTCAGAATTGGTTAGTTCGATATCAGGAATGGTGAACTCAATTTCAGAGTCGGTGAGTCCATTCAATTTCAGAAATGGTAAGTTGTATTTCAGAAAATAAATTCTTATATTCGTTTGACATATTCTTAGTTGCATGTGAAAAGAACAAACCATGTTCAGTATATTTAAATTTTTAAAAACCATTAAATAACATATACTAAACTTAATCTTCAATTATTCTATACAGACATGTCTTCCATTCGAATCGCAGAAGGATAGTGGTGTTGCACATGATTTGAAAGAATTCAAACACTTTTGAGTGGATGACCTGAACATTCTTCGAGACATCACAGTCTGAATTCTATTTGGTTGAGCAATCTGTTTGGATTCTTGGCTATGACCCTTTGGTGATGCTATTGCAAGAAGCTCTTCACTTCTTACTTGAAGGTATTCCATAATATGTTCAATTATTGGGTTCAACATTGGGGGCTGTGATGTGCCAATCTGCAAATGAGAACATTTTGAAATCCTTCCCTCATGCGAATCTCCTCTATGTATTCTTGAATGTGCAGGTACATTATCCAGAACTACCACTATGTTATCTGTAGGATGCCCATTTTAAACGTACGCTCATCATCCTATGAACTAAGATTCATGCAGTGACTTATTCAATTCACATGGTGAATGTGTAATCAGGATTATTTATTTCAAGTTGAACTTCTCTTTCTGAAATTGAACTAACCAATTCTGATATATAACTAACCATTTCTGAAATTGAATAGATATTTTCTGAAATTTAACTCACCGATTCTGGAATTGAGTTAACCATTTCTGAAACCGAGTCTACCTTTTCCGAAATATAACTTACCAATTCTGAAATTGAAGTTGGAAAGGTATGGTGTATGAAACCCCAGTTGGTATTTGTGAAAAATATGAGATTCGTGAAATTTATATATTGCTACTTCGAAGTTGAGAACTTACTCCTCACAAGTCTGAACTTGTGCGGAGTTAGGAAGAGTGGGGTCTATTGCTTATTTGAACTACTTCTAGGACACCAAGCTGCTGCAAGGATTATAACCAAGAATCACACGCATATTCTTGAATAATGCTTAGCTGAGCCGCATTCAAACGAACCTTTCCATTCTGGAAATCAAACTCTAACTCAAATTCATCTTCCATATAATCCAGCTTCTTCTAGTAGTTCGAAGATGACAAAAATTGAGAAGTGGAATCTTAAACAAACATACCAATTATTATTACCGTCAATGAAATGAGGCTTTCACTCCTCCATTTTAATTCGAAATGATATCTTCTATGTTGATTTCATTATTCAATTGTTCATTAATGATCTCCACATCTTTATCTCCACAGATGACATCTAACTACACGTTTGCAGCGCTGAAAGTAACGTCATGGTTAGTACATCCATTCCTACTACTCTGCATAGTCCTACTTCTGCTCTATAAATACCTTACCAGAAACTTCAACTACTGGCAAAAGCGAGCTGTACCATTTCATAAGCCCATACCACTCTTTGGGAACTTTGCCGATGTCATGTTGTGGAAGACTTCCCCATACGAATGGCTGAAGAAACAATACGATTCCACTACTCATCCAGTTTTAGGAATATACATCTTAGATGATCCTTACTTGGTTATAAACGATCCTGATTTGATCCACTGTATTTTGGTGAAGAATTTCAGTAACTTCAGCGATAGACAGATCGCTGCACCTGTACATGATAAATGCGTTGCCAATCTCCTCTTTTTCCAAAAAGGACCAGAATGGAAAGAAAGAAGAAGAAAACTGTCGCCGATATTCAGCACTGGAAAAATCAAATCAATGTTGCCGACTCTCAATGAATGCGCCAGAGATTTGTTGGAATACTTGACCCGTCAAACTGGAGATGTAGAGGCTAAAGAGATGATAGCCAGATTCTCCACTGTTATAGTAGCTAAATACTTCTTTGGATCTGACGTAGATGCATTCAAAGGTGACCCAGATTTCAGAAAATACGGAAGAGAAATCTTCAAATATGATTGGAGAAATGCTGTGGTCCAGAGTATTTTTCTTTTCAAACCCAAATGGGTAGATATTTTCAAACTTCGATTTGTCAAGCCGCACGCTGAAAAATTCTTTCGCAAAGTTTTTTTAGACGCTATGGATTTGAGAAGACAAAATTTGGTCGAAGTAGGCGATCTGGTTGACCTGTTGAACGAAATGGTATCAAAAAGAGAATGCTTTGGAGATGAAGGAATTGGTGAGTATGGTTGAAGATCTTAACACTCCACTGCTACCAACAAAGAATATCTTCTTCAGGGCATGAGAAGATTTTAAGTCCTGCATTGCAGATGTATATGGCGGGATACGAAACTACCAGTTCAGCTGTATCTTTTACTTTACTTGAATTGGGTGTTGATATGGGTATACAAAATAGACTGAGAAAAGAGATTAAAGACACAATTGAAAAATATAATGGAGTAACCTTTGAAGCAGTTCGCGAGATGGAATACTTGGATATGTGCCTCAGAGGTGAGATGTAATTCTGTTGACCACCACATTAATCTCAATTCTGATTTCATTCCACAAGATGTGTGTAAGTGTAATTCAAACTCCAAGCAATAATAATTGAGACAGGCGAGTCATCTTTTTATTTGCTGAAGTTTCAATTTCCATTTTGTTTCACCACACATATACAAGGTGTGCCATTGTAATGGCAAAATGAAGGAGCTGCAGATAAGTTCAGTGAAATAGGGTCAATGAAAAATTACCTATTTTCAACGTTCATTGAAATTTTTTTTTATGTTTCTCGGGAAGAACTCATGCGATGTTGATTGATTTCAATAATGGATATATTGAAAATCTTCCTCATCGATCCGTGGTACATTCTACACTTATCACTGATGTGAATGATATATCTATTCATATAATTTCATAGTATTTTTTACTATCTCTTGTTACTGTACATTATTCAATTGAGGATCTGCTACTTCATGAAATGTATGTTATATGGATGTATTGAAAATCGTATGTAGGAGTGTTTCCCATTCCTGAATATCTTCCTAAATGATTTATTTTTCTCATGGAGTGCCCGAAAATGAATCCCTATCATGTTCGAGGAACATCGGGAAAATAGAGAGAGAAGGTAGGTATTGGATTTATTTCGAATTTATGGAGATTATGAGTTCTTGAGAATACCTCCTCTGAATTCTTTGGTAAAGAATTCTGAGGTTTTGCCTTTCGATAGAAAGAAGAGTTTTGGTAATGAGTTGTGCGACTCATCTCGAGGTTGACGACGAAAGGATGTGCTAACTGGGCTTGTCGAGTGTGTCGAGAATTCTGAAGAACATTCTCAGTGGGAGTATCTATACAGGGTGTGTCACGACGAGCTTACAATAACTCAATGAAAATATGCATGCTTATATTTTAGAATACGCTCTCTTTATTTAAAATATTTTCAGCAATGCAGTAGTATTGTCGCTTCTATCAAAAAGTAGCAACAACTTTGTTATTTCGAATGGAATACCCAGTATTTTATTGCATTTTTAGATTCTTCCTGAAGAGCTGATTTCTTCGATACATCACACTTGGGGTCTATCGAGAATAATTACAGATATATAGATTGTTCAAAATCAAGATTTTTCAATTATAGTAGTTGTTTGAGTCGAACCTACATATTCATTATCGGCCAAAATGGCTCACATGTCCCTATCTCAACTTTTGATTCTTTATTTACCGATATTTATTCGGAACAGATACAGGGTGATCAGAATTCTGAATCTTGAACCATGAATAGTTTCGACACAAAAAAATCCTAGAGTTGAAAAATCAAGATTTTGAACACCCTATATTTCTGAAATATTTTTGGACCCCTATGTGTGATATATCGATGAAATGAGCTCTTCAGGGAGAATCTAGAAATGCGATAAAATACAGGGTGTTCCGTTTGAAATATCAATGTTGCTACTACTTCCTAATAGAAACGGCAACACTGCATTGTGGAAAATATTCCATATGAGGGGAGCGTATTCGGAAATATAAATATGCATATTTTCATGGATTTCTCCGGATTGATTCTCGATATAAAAATAGTGTGAGCTCGTTGTGACATACCCTGTAGAGTATGGCATCACCAACCAGGCGAGTTTCACGTTTCAGCATAGAATCTAAGAGCATACTGAGTCCCCTTTTTCTAGAGACAATACAGGGTTGAGTTTTGGTTGCGTTTAATTCAACTAGGCTGTTGGTCACCAAGCTGTAATTTTAGCAAGAACTTCATTGACAGCATTGATCTGTCTTCGCCGTTAGTTCCTAAATTTCTGAGGAGAATTGGGAATTCTGAAAGAGGAGGCCGTGTGGAGACAATCATCTGCTCCCAACAGATCATTGATATTGAGTGGGAACGATGTTGGTGCCAAAACTGATCCTTGTAGAACTCTGGAATTGATGACTATGGTATTTCAGATCATACTCTGTCCACTACCACATGAAACGATCTGCCTGAAAGGAAACTCGATGAAAAGACATAGCTGAGGTGGTGAGCCTTGAAATTTCAGTTTGTGGAGAAGTCCTTGGTGCCAAACACGTTGGAATGATTTCAATATATCTGAGCCACAGCTAGAGATTCCCTTAGATTTTTCAATGGAGCTTGAAGGACGACATTTTAAATTTCCCCTGAGAATCTCAAATGGGGAGGGGGGTAGAGTGGCACATCATTTTGAAGGTCGTTCAATTCTCTTCCCAACGGTACCCTCATTTACCATTTTCTGTTGAGCAGTTACGAAAAAATGCCGTGTCACTAAGAAAACTTCCCACCTCTGATATCTTCCTTCCAGTGAATGATATGGAAGATCGAAAAGACACGTCAATTCAATTTCCAAGGCAGACACTTGAAATGCATATTTTTAGCCCTCTTAGTTCAAACCCCTAGGAGGGGTAGATGTTACCCTAAGAACTTAATAATGCTCTAGCTTTGGATTTTTTGATGAGCAGTTACCGAAAAAGGCCGTTTCAATCTGACAGAAGTAATTAGAACATACCTGCACTGAGATACATGGTTTTCAGGTTCGTATCATTGCATTGACCAGTGGCGTAACCACTATACCGCGAAACCCCGCGGTTGCGGGGGGCCATTTCCTCGGAGTGGGCCCTGGAGCCCTGGGTCCACCAACCAGAGCAAGGACTCAGCCAAATTGGTTGATACATGAATATTTTTTGATTATGAATATGCCACAGAAATAATTTTTCCATTTCTGCGAGAAGTGCAGGCTTGGTTTTTTCAATGTAGGTCCAGGGTGATGTGTGAAATCAACGATACATTTTTCTTCGTTGAGTATGGTTGAGTGATCTGTGCCGCAAGCTTCAGCTGGTCATCTTGCTAGTGGCTAATGGAATGGCTATGCCCTATTCCTGTGCCTCAGACGTGCGAGAGCGGCGATTGAAGATGAAATTTACATTAACTTTCATTTGGTGTTGTCAAATTGATTAGCCGAGATCTGAGAGATTCAACCTATGAATAATACCGGTGTGAATATTAATGTTCGAGGTCGACGAAAAAATTCAATATGCACCTCGGCGAAAAACTGTCGATTGTCTGTCCTGCTTGCTCGACTATATAGACAGTTTTTAATCCTTGGTACATAAATAACTATCTCGTACTCTTGCAGTCAAGCCAATTATTCTAAATGGGGAACTTGATTAAAACTAGTGGTGCCTCAAAAAGAAGAAGGAAACAAAAGTTAGAAGATGAGAAGTGTACAATTTCCAAGATTACCACGTTCTTTACGAATACGACTACTGTTTCGGATAATACAGTTGAATATTATGATGAATGTCCATCAAGTAGTAGCAGTATGATGATTGAAACAGGAATGAATGTTGACTCTGCAATTATTATGGAAGAAAACTATTATTCCAGATTTTTTGGGATTTTCTCTCGTTTCTAAAAAATGAAAATATGAATATTATTTCAATATACTTGTAGTGAGGACAAATCAGATGATTTGCCCCAAAATGTCACTGCGTTTATAGAATTTTGCTATCAAAGAACCTAAAAGAAAAATTTACTAGCTTATTGTGAAGCTTGTTGGTTATTCAATAGTTCATGAAAAAAAAGGGACTTCTGACTGAAAAGGTTTGTCTCGAGGGAGCCCTAAATGATTTTGGCGGGGGGGCCCAAATTATGAAGCCCCTGGCATTGACTCTCCTTTCAGTCCAAATGGTAGGAAGATTTTGAATGCATCCCAGTGCAGGCATGTTCTAATTACTTCTGTAAGTTTGGAACGGCATTTTTCGGAAACCGCTAATCAAAAAATGATAAACTAGGGTACTATTGGAAAGAGAGTTGAGCGAAATAAAGTGCATCTTGACCAGCTTTTCAACTGAGGTACTTAGGGTAACATTCACCCCTCATAGAAAGTTGAATCATGAAGGCTAAAAATATGCACTTGAAGTGTTCCGCTTCAGAATGAAATCGACCCATATTTTCGATTCTTCATATTATTTACTGGGAGGAAGATAAACCCTTAACTACTAATCATACGTCTCAGAGACGGCATATCAGCATCCGATTTGTTGGATTACCACTGCTTTTCAATATCGGCCATTGTCCTACTACGTAATTTATGCCCAACTAGCACTCATTCAGTACCCTGAAGTTGATCTATGTATATAGTTCAGTTTTAGAAATATCTTGAGTGAAAGATAGATTCTCGTCTCGTAGACGTATAGTTAGTTATTACGTAACAATAAAAGATCAATTTCGCTTATAATACGTATGATTGCGTCTATATCTAGATATACAGGCATTGTCATTTTTTTCAATTTGCATGTTTATGACTTAGTTCTGTGTCATATTTTATTACGACTCTGAACTGTATTCAGAATGACAATAATATCATCGATAAGTTTAGTATTTCAATTTTATTTTAGTATTTCTATAGATCAAGGTCGAAATTTTTAACATAAGGTACTCCTCTATTAAATTTTGATCGCCACTGAAATTTGTTTTTCTATTTCAATTTTGAACATCATTTTCTCTTCGAAAAATATGTAGAGGACGTGTTTGAATACCTCACAAAAATAAAATAAAAAATTTTGGATTTATATGGACATTTATATAGTCCCGTCTGTGAGACGTATAGTTAGTGACAACGTTATATATTTGAAACGTTAGTAGTTAAGGGTTGGATGGGAAGTTTTCTAATTGACACTGCATATTTAAGAAACTGCTCAACAGAAAATAATGAACTAGGTTACCGTTGGAAAGAAAATTGAGCGCCCTTCAAAATGATGTGCCACTTGACCCCCTCTCCATTTGAGATTTTAAGGGTAGAATCTACCCCTCCTAAGGGGTTGAACCAAGAGGGCTAAAAATATGTGTTTCCCTTGGAAATAAAATTGACCTCTCATCTCGATTTTTCATTCAATTTACTGAAAGGAAGATATTGAAGGTGGGTAACGTAGACAATTAAATCTCGATTCGATCTTCGATCTACTAATCAAAGTTTCCTGAGCTTTCCAGTTCAAAGTTGATGGCTCTCTCCATCACTTTGGAAATATCTGATAACTGAACGATAGGCTTATAGTTGCTGGGCAAGTTTTTCTCCCCTTTCAAGGGGATTGGTTGGACTCTAGCTGATTTCCAGCATAATGGAAGAACGCCCGACGAGATGGTTAATAACTTGCAGAGTTGAATTGAATCGACTTTTACTCGATGAAAATTCATTATAATAATGAGGAAAAAGCTCACCTGAGTAATAAACTTCACCAATTCCCTTCTGCGCACGACCGGTCAGTGTAATATACACCATGAAGAAGCTAATGTTTAGCGGAACAATTATTGTGGTGTGCAAAAGCGAATTCGTGATAATTGATACTCTGGTGAGTTTTTTCCTCATTAACTTGCAGAGAATTGATGTTGATTAATTCTGGTGCGCACTTTTTGATACTGTCAGCTTGATTAGATTCAGGACCAAGCAAAATGATCTCATTCAATCTGTTATAGAGTCTCTACGGAAATATCCCCCACTTGGATTTGTGGATCGTATCTGTAACCTCGACTTCAAAGTACCAGGAATGGACTTAGTTATAGAGAAAGGAATCTGCGTTATGGTGCCCATATTTGGTTTATGTCGTGATGAAAACTATTTCCCTGAGCCAGACAAGTTCATTCCAGAAAGATTCTCTAAAGAAGGTAGATCGGATAACAAAAATGTTTGGTTGCCATTCGGCAAGGGTCCAAGATATTGTATTGGTAAGAATTTCATAATTTTTTCTACGTATTCCAAAATATTGGTGAACAGACAGTAATGTTATTATCTCCATTCAAAAAAAGGAATCAGAATTTTAGTACCCTTATTGTTATCTTCTTCTCCTATAATTTCGAAATTACCTAAATCTGACATTTATATATGTTGTCCGATTCTAGTAACAGCATGCTCAGCTGATTTCGATTTGTCGAAATATCTATAAAAGAATTTCTGTACATAAGAATATTCCAATATCCACTTCCCATCTGAATGGAATTTTGAAAAGTCTCACTTCTTTTTATCACTTGAAAAAGTTGACATGCAACTTCGTAGGTTTATTTCTTCACATTCTACGTTTGTCATGACCTGATCACATTTATAAAAAAAAAATTTAATCTCAGAATTTTAGTGAAGTTATCGAATGAGTATACTGATTGACACTTTTCTTTTGTTTCAGGAGATAGATTTGGAATAATGATGTCCAAATTGGCATTGATCCATATCCTCAAAAATTTTGAAGTTCAGCTATCTATAAACACTGTATATCCTGTGGTGTTTGATCCAAAGAGTTGGCTTACTCACCCCAAGGGTGGTCTACCGTTGAGATTCAAGAAAATCTAGTCATATTATTATCGTAGTCATAAGATAATTATAATAACAATAATCAGACTTCATTTTCATGTTCGACAAATTTCATGCGTATATATAGGAATGGTCATGATGTGGTAAAAATAAACATAACATACATATGATATAAGTATACAAAATAAATGCATGGCAAAAATAGGTAACTATTTGTAGTTTTTGTAGTCCCTGAATCAGACGAGTTCATTCCAGAAAAAATCTCTATAGAAGGTAGTTCCAATAACAAAAATATTTGGTTGCCATTCGGCAAGGGTCCAAGATATTGTATTGGTAAGAATTCCATCATACTTTCTACGTGTTTTAAAATATTTCCTCCTGGTACCTATAAAGAACAATTTGAGTATTATTGCGATATGAGTCACTGTTTGACGAAGGAATATTATTGCTTTAGGAAATAATGACGGATAGCCCTTATTCCTTCTTGCACTCCATCAGGAAAAAAATAATCATGTTTGGCTATATCTTCTACACACATACCTATAACTTTACTTAGATAGTGAGACTGGTTATTCCATATTTCAGATCCAGTTATATTCAATTATGGCTTTACCAATTGCGTAAAAACTGCATTTTTCATGTACAGATCGCATTCAACACTTTCTTTTTCCTTTTCGCTCTCAATTCGTGAGCCATAAAACTTCCATCCAAATATTGACACGACACCCAATAAAGAAAAGCGGAGAGTTTGTCATCAACTTCAGAGAATCTGCTGGTTCGACAGACAACAAACAGACAACGAAACGAGTTTATGCAAATGAAGGGCCATAAACAAAGGGTAAGGCGTGTAGTGACAAGCAATTATTATGTTAGTCGGCGTCGACTTCATTTGGTATATTGGTATTGGTATATGCTTTTTTGGAATCGAATTATAGGCTTGAGTCCATCAGTCTCTCACTCCCAACGACTCCTCTCTTTTGAATACCTTCTGATCTTGTATGCGGTTGCACTACAGTCCCTTCAACAATGGGTAAAGAATCATGGAATCTATGTGGTGAATATCCATTGACCTATAAACAACGAATGGAAATACATGATTTTTCGCGTACTATATATGAAAATGAATAATAGTGTAATGATATTCCCCTTAGAGCGGCTGCTCTAGAAACATTAGCAGGAAGGCAGGAGTACAACGATCATCCTGTAACACGCATCCCAGATTGTTCTCCAACCTCCCAATGATTCCTACATGCACCAGCATATTTCCGAACACTCAATATATGACGCGGTGACAAATAACGTGACAGAAGATTCTGGAATGTTCAGGAAACAATCGATGGAACAATTAGAGAGAGAGGTATTGTTCTAAGCAATTTCTGAGAAACTTCTAGAACAAAAAGAAGGGGACAGAAGATCATTCGAGAACGTTCTCGAACCAAAGCCTACCAAGGGATCTCATATATAAACGGCCGGACAGGACAACTGCCGTCAGTCAGTCGAGCAGCGAGTGTCAGAGAGACAGTTATATACCGCGTGATATAAACCAGGAGCCCAAAGTTACACAGGGGGTTTGAAGGCTAGCCTATGCAGTCTCATAGAGAAGACGGAGCTAGCCAAAGAACTCTAAACGATTCTGAGGGCAGGCACGACAGATCCAAAGAGGTCGCGGTGTGGAGGCAGATAACCCGAAGGCCCCATTTTGAATTCACTATAACACCACGATTTAGACAATTCCACGGCCAATATGAAACTGTCATCTCCATGTCATACCAGCTGAGGTAATACAATGAGTGCTCGCAATAGTATCGATATTTATTCTATCAGAAATCAACGAGATCCAATTGCTTGGTAACAACACGAGGAAGAGAAGGAAACAGCAGTACACATATTTTGCCACTGTGAGGGCTTGTCAAGACTAAGGTTCCTTACGCTGGGTGAGGAAAAGAAGCCAAGAGCCCAAAGTTACAAAGGGGATCTGAAAGCTAGCCTATGGAGTCTCATAGAGAAGGCGGGGCTAGCCAAATAATTTCGAGGGCAGACACAATAGATCTGAAGAGGTCACGGTGTGGAGGTATATATCCCGAAATCCCTGTTTTGAATCTAATCTAACACCACGATTTGGACATTTCCACGACGAATATGGCATACCAGTTGACAATATATCATTCTATTAGATTCGTGGGTGCCGTGACGACGTAGTTTTACCGGCTCGAAAGCAATAGGAACAGCGTTCTATTCTATAATAATTCTGATTGGTTCTTATATCGCAGGAAATGACAGTTTCATAAACGTCGTGGAATTGTCGGAATTACCGATATTTCTGGTGAACCACGAGATCATCTCCAGTCCAGCCACGAAATTTTGAATTCAAGAATCACATTGTAAAAATCTCTAACAGTAACTGGAGATTAAACCTAATGCCAATCCCGTTCTATCGATTCAGGATCTTCGAAAGTTCAATGCAATCACGTTATGTTGATGATCGGTAATATTGGTATGAACTTCGCGAAGATGGATTTTTGGCACCTGCTGGAATTTAATGGATGAAAGGCCAAATTGAGGAAGATACACTTTACCGGATTGCCTCGTAATGAGTAATAAACTTCTTCTTGCGGTTAATTCACGATATATTAGCCTTTTTCCTTGATGAACAGTTCGAGTACGCTTCGCCAGTATCTTCAAGCACGGCACGTAATAAATTGCAGCGCATTCATTATTTCCATCATCAAAATTTAATAGGAAACAATTTGGTTCGGCACGGTTTCCGTAAGGTTTCCGCAATGCCGCAATGACTCTGGGGTTGATTCCGTTGATTACTACGATTACACAAATAATTCATGATCCACACCCTTCCGATTCTATCATGATAAATTTAACACCTGTACGGTAGGTAAAGAGAGCTAGTCCCCATCTACCAAACTATCAGTAGCGTTCTGAATAAGCTTTCTAGTGCGAGCTAATGAGCTGAATCAATGGTTGATGCCAATGTGCCAGAGGAGTTCAAAGCTTCTATATCCATATCTAAGCTGGGAATGAATCGTAGTTAATTCAATAATAAGGATTCTCCATATCATTCACGAATGGAGGATTCTGGCATTCCAGAAATAATGTACTAAGGTTTTGAATTTCTTGCAACATCCACTTACCAGAATCCAATTTACCAACGGGTGTCCTTAAGACTCTAGAATCTAGAGGAAGAAAATGAAAGCATCAGGTTCTGTGGAGAAAAAGAGGAAACCTCTATTCACAAAATCAAGGAATGTTACAGTGTACAGAACCACAGGCGACAAACCTAGAAATATTGAGGAGTTACCCTACCTTGTAACAGTTGTAACACATCATAAATCTTGAAATTACTAATGAAATAGACAGATTGCTATCGACGAATATCCTCATCATCATATACAGGGTGTTTCAATGATAGTGCACAAAACTTCGAGGTCGTATTTTTTTGTTTAAATTAGAAAAAAAAAACATTTCTATAAACATATGTCCGAGAACGATACGTTTTCGTACATGGTTCTCAAGTTTCTTAAAAAAATGTTTTTTTGAATATTTAAATTGCATATAAATTGGATTAACACAGAATCGGGTCGATTCTGTTCTCAAATAGCAATATGGTTGTAGAGAGGATATTGCTATCATAGCAAGATTCGAAAAAGTGGAATTCTAATCATCGATTTTTGGCAATATGATCTGTCAATTTCAATGACATCTGGTCAGCTTTCTTGCTATCTTGGCAACATCAATTTTGTGCTTATTGCTATCATATAACAAGGTAGTGGATTCTTTGTTTTTGCACTTCAAATTCTTCCAACTGTATGAAAATTCAGAAAATAGTGGATTAAAAACATATTTTATGAGAGTTCACTTGTGTCACTGACTACTCGAAAACCTTTCCTCAAAGTTTCAGTTCGTGGAAGAATTATTGAAAAACTTGGAATGGTGATTACAAACATATAGGATAGGTTCACTAATGTGACCAACTACTTGAAAACCTTTTCTTGAAGTTCCAATTTGTAGAAGAAATATGAGACTACAATTTCGGCATATCAGAGCAACCAGAAAAACCATTTCAGTTGCCTGATAGATAGTTGATCAAGCTATTCTGCTAGAATATTAAAAATATATCACGATTATTTTCATCCGGCTTTTATTTGTTTTCTCATTTCGGGGACATGATTGATTACTTGCACCAGTCGCACAACGACGACCAGATTCAGCAAATACAAAATCTCTCGATTTGAACAATATAATTTTGTTAAATGTCAGTGCAGGACTGACTTACTTGAGAGGTTAGATAATCATTAACTCTTCTTCTTCATGAAATAATGGCAAAATCGATACCTAACACTTAAACAATGAGTTGAAAACAGTGTTGTCAGCTCAAAAATTCTCAATTTTTCAACAATATTGCTATCACTACAACTTATAACCAGTCTTGCAGTTACTCTGCAAACAGAATACATAACTTCATAGCAATATTGTTATATGTTATGATCATAACAATATTATTATCTTAGCAATGTTATAACAAGATCCGAACAGAATCGACCCGAAAATCAACTTCTTGGATAAAATCTGTAAGTACCTCCAAATTACATACACAACAGTAACGAAAAACATTTGCCGATCAGTAATTTTACGAGAAAAACTGACATGATACCTATGGTCTCGCAATTTTGTCAAATGTCAGTTTTTGAGAAAAATAACTGATGGAGAATGTTCGAGTTAGTAAGGAAATTTATCCAATTGAAAAACAATTCGAGTGTTTTTTGGCAAGATAAATCAACGACAATATATAGTTCATCTCAATCAAACTTGACACGACAGAAATTTGAGTGACATCAGACACAAATACCTACTAGATCAAAGGAATAGGCAGTTTATCAGCGATAAAAAAGGTGCATCCTTTTGGTCGGTTTTAGGAATATGAAGACATCTAATTAGATTTTGGAATAGGCGTGTATCAATAGTAGTAACTTTTTTCCACGCCACTGTTGCAACGTTTCGAAAACATGCGTTTTACGTTCTTACACGCTTGCACGTTTCATTATACTTTGAGGCGATTAATTTCGAACACTCCATGGGGACTCGGCTTTCGACTTTCTTGGTGTTCTATCGACTGGTAAATTGGCCAGCTGACAAACGATGGGCGGTTATGGGTTATCGACGGAGATACAATTAGTGGAAAACTCATCAAG